CAGAGATGCTTGTCCAGTCCTACCAGAAGAGCTTCAAGCTTCCCGTTATTATCGTGCGCAGTAACAACGTTTACGGACCGCATCAATTCCCCGAGAGTATGTCATCAAAACACGTCAAATCTGTTGAACCATAGCTGACCAACCGACTTAGAAATTATCCCCAAGTTCAGTTGTTTGCTGAACAGAGGCCAGCCCGTTGTCCTCCACGGCGACGGAAGCCCCACCCGCCGCTACCTGTTTGCCGGTGACGCGGCGGATGCATTTGACACCATTCTCCACAAGGGCCAGATGGGTCAAATCTACAACGTCGGATCCTACGACGAGATCTCCAACATTGACCTCTGCAGCCATCTCCTCAAGGAGATGAAGATTCCCTTCTCCACGACGGACGAGTTCAAGAAGTGGGTTAAGTACACACACGACCGTCCCTTCAACGACCACCGCTACGCCGTCGATGGCACCAAGCTGCGCCAGCTCGGCTGGGACCAGAAGACGAGCTTCGCCGACGGCCTGCGCATCACCGTCAACTGGTACCGCCAGTTTGGCGAGGAGTGGTGGGGTGACATTACCTCCGTTCTCACTCCCTTCCCCGTCGTTCAGGGACTGGATGTGTCTGCGGACCAGGAGCCCGTGGCCGACTCACCGCCTACCCCCGAGTCGAAGAAGAGAAAGGTGATTGATGGCGTCAACGGCACCAACGGCCACTCTGTTAGAGCATAGACCTCAGGCTATCAGTGGGCGAGTGGTTGGTAGGGAGAAGGGGGGATGAACGAGAGACATGAAAATTTACATGAGGAAGGGTGTGTTCCTTCAATTGTTATGATGTAAATCCTTTAGAGACGTGCAACACGGTCTGGCGTATGGCCAAAGAAAGCTTGGCAAGTTTGCAGAACACAACACACACACACACAACACACAACACATTTTTCTGGCTCCGGTTTATGGCGGGGGCGTAAAAGGCACACAGTATGGCGGTTCAATCATAGAGAGAACATATGGTCGATGGTCGGCAAATCAACCCTTTTTCCAAAAGTCAAGTTCACATGTGATGTGTTCCCTTTGTAGCCTTGATGTTCCTTGATATTGTGTTTGACAGCGAGTGGTTGTTACCTCAACTAGAGGGAGGACCGAGGTAGCTAACACATGAGAGTGGGGAAAGGGTAGCTCAAGTGGTAATGATCAATGGAATCTATTCATTCTCTGGGCCCGTGGGAGGTTGATTCTTCTTTTAATCCTTTGTCATCTGCATTTTCTTACGCAATTGAAGCAATGAGCTCTCACAAGACTAGGAGATAATACCAGGTCATCATCATTTAGCCATGAAGTGAAGTTGACCCCCCCCCCCCTTCCCCTCTCTCTCGTGACAAGATGTGGGCCAAGGTGTAAGCGAGAGAGGGGGCGGCGGTATGCAGGTTCACACATTTCGATGTTGGTCCTTGTTGGAGAGTGAACCATCTCTTTGGGTTCTTTACCTTGGTACCGAGGCAAAGAGAAGCATTGGAACAGGGGGGCATATCGAATTAGCCTATGTCTGTTCTTGTTCTGGCATATTCAAACTCAGATTAAGACCGTTTTGAGTCCTCGAGATGTTATGGAACAGGCAACGCTGGGCTACACTGTTCAATCTGAGGAAGACAGGTTTTCCACGTGCAAAAAAAAAAAAAAAAAAGACAAGAGTGAGATTTTGTAACTGCGCCTCACGAAGACTTTTCTGATGAACCTGGCAACATTCAGCTATATTGCTTTTTCGGGATTTCCTTTTTGCTCGTGATTCTTCCCATGAGGTGAGGGGAGGAGGGGCTGTACCACGTATTTTCCATTCTCTTCCTGTATTTCTTACATGCAGATGCAGGAGGATTCGTTGCTGGGTTCATTTGATTGCTTTTGGGGGTGTTCAAGACTTGAGCAAACTAGCCGAATGGTCCGACGAAATCCCTCCCCCCTTCTATTATTCTATCTTATGTACTTTTTGTACGTGGATCCTTGGTTACGGATTTGCTTGCTTTTTTCTTTTCTCACTTAGGTCCTGGTGTCACTGTTGAAAGGTCAATGGACCATCTGTATGGCGAAAGGGAAAGTCTCGACCCATACGAACGGTAATATTACTCCGCTCTCTCCCCCCTCTTCTTGAAGGTGGTTGAGGGAAGGCAAGGTAAGGTACCGCGCGAATGGTTCGAGATGGATTTACACCCCGGTCACCAACTTTTCGTTGGTTCGGGGTCGGACTTCTCGGAGGCGGAGGGATTTTGAACTTGTTCTCTCTGAACAAGAGGCACGGATACCTACCTACCTACTCTATGAGGTTTGTGTAACCTACCTAGATTGGCAGGATTGGTAATGCCGTGCAGCAGTATTCCTGCTTGCTGCTACTGCCACCGATGCATGTTGAAATAGCTACGAACGATAGTCATCGGGCTCTTGTCCGTCTCCGGACACCACCCTGTACGGCTTCTTCAATATTATCGAAGGAGGGGAATTGATGCCCCATCTGAGATTTGATTGGAACCCGATGGGCTGGCGGATGGAAGGTGGAAGCGGCCGTCAAGTAAGGTACAGGAAAGTCACGACTGAGGAATTGCCCTCTTTATCGCACAGGTTGGGACCTGGATGAAGGCTGGACAGTACATTTCCCGTTTTCTGGGTGGATAAATTCGTAAATAAAAATTAATCCTATTACACTGGTAGGCAATGGTCCTTCAACTGCTCGGCCCCCTCTCTCTTCTCTCTTCTCTTCCCTTTGGGTTCCTATCCTCTCCATTCCCCCTTGGACGTGCTTGAGCTTCTGGGTAAGGGCACATTAGGTGTGGGCGGGGGTCCCGGGGGGGGGGGGGAGACCACCTACCCTGATCCATAACCACCGGACCCATCCATCCCCGAGACCCGGGCCAACCAGAGTGGCAGAGAGAGGCCTGGGAGAGAGACATAGAGCCCCCGAGGCGCGGTTGTGGACTTTCGGATTTGTGGTTCGGTGGGGTCTGAGAGGGAAAACCCAAGCCTCCAAGGTTCCAACGGCGGGGGCCACAGAGAGAGAGAGAGAGAGGGGGGGGGGGGCGCTGTCCCTCATCCTTGGGCCTGGGAGTCCTTGGACCGTGTACGCACCGCCGCGATGGAGAGTAAAGTGCCTGTGCGTGGGTTTTTCCTTTTTCACTTTCTTGAGCCCAGGCTTCCGTCCCATGCTGTTGGGAAAAAGTATCGCGAGTGGGAGCCCCGAATTGGGGTAAAGGACGCGCAGAAGTGTTTGGTGCGCCTTGCTTACCAATGATAAGGAGGAAGTAGTATCGTACTCTCAGAGGTCAAGAGATGAAGAGATGAAGAGATGGTAAGTGGAGGGAATGTTGCAGCTTGCCTGCAGCCTCCATCTACTACTACCTTGGGGTGCTTAGGTGCAGTAAGGTGCTGACTGCCTGTACCGGCGGTTTCCCGGGGAATCGTATCAGTCTGAGATTCTAGACTTCATTCTAGATGAGAGGAGGAAGATGAGGGAGACAAATGGTTCGGTGTATGCTCGAGCATAGCAGTTATCCCTATTTATCCAATCTGTGAACCGCTGGGAATCTTAGCTGGTTGGAATTACTGTCCATACGTGCCCAGTGTTTCTTCACGACAGTTCTAACAACGTGTATGTGCCCTGATGCAGCACACTGACCTTGCATATCCAGCGTGCCAATGCAGAGAGCTTGGTGGCTCGAAGGTACGAATGAAATCTCGTGTCTTTCGCGTCCTGCATGGGCATAATGCGTACCTTAGGCATAGGCATAGAAGCGTACTGGAATTGGGGCAAGAGGTCCAGACGCAGAGAAATGATACTTCGAGCCCGCACCACTACCTCTGGGTCCATTAAGATGCCGTTTTAACGACATGGCCTTTGTCCACTCCCGCAGCCAAGAGACTGTAGGCATCCAAGCTCTGGTGTCTCCGTTTTTGGTTTCTAAGCCAGTCGGACTCTTGGAATAAGGTACTCTCCGTAGTAGGTTCCATTGGTAAAGCAAAGATCTCCACGGCAGCTCCCACCGTCTCTGCCGCGGTGTCGGTGTCTGTCCAACAGGTTCAACGATGCAAGCCAGAGCAGTCTACCTTTACAGGCGCAGACGTGGTAATGTATGAATGCCAGTGAGCAGCGAGGAGTACGAATACAACAACCCTTGATCATTTGCCCCGTCAATTCCCACCCACCCCCTCGTCGCTCGTCCTCGTCGTCCCGGTCCATCGCCAGCGTCCTTGCGAGGTTCCCACGTCGCCATCCCGGCACCTGTCAGGATTTCTGCGCGGGAGTAGAGTAATGCACTGGCCAAGGGCACCCGCACTAGGACGTCTCCCCGGGAGCAGCCATTCCCATTTCAGTGTTAATCCTACCCGACTGGCAAGTCACGTCGTCGCCTGATTATCCTCAAAACGAACGTCCTTTCCACTACTTCGTGCCACCCCCCCAAGCCCCCAAGGAGTTTCTTAAGCCATCGTCTCTCCTAGTCCCGCCCTCCCGCGTCTTCCCTTCAAGAGAGGCCCTTTCTTTCAACCTTCTCCCGCTTTGCCGCACTCGGTCTCGTACCATCTTTTCTCTTTTGTTCCTCTCTCTCAAGTCTGCACCAAGGTTCCCAAAAGACGCTTTCCACAATCTACCCGAGCAAGAGCAATCGCGACCACCGATCGGCCGACCGATAACGTCCGGATTTGGCACCAGAATCGCCAGCCCTCTATTTCCGTCCTTTGGGATTTCCGCGAGAACCCACTCCGTCGCCCCCCCCCCCCTTTACTGGCCCTTGACTGGCCCTTTACTGGTACCTAATCAACCTCGACGAGAACGACAAATCCATTCTCCTTTTCTACTCGCGGCCGCCAAATAAAGTCAACAACCTCCCCCTCCCAGCATCCCATCGCGGGTCATGGCATGACGTTCCGGGGCCGCCGACTAGCAACAGAAAGACCGCAATAGGGACCCCTTCGAACTCAGACCCTCCCCGGGTGGCACAGACGGACGGGACGGGTCTCGGCCGCCGCCGCCCATGGCCAGGAAGAGGCGCACCAAGAAGCGCAACAAGGGAACCAGCACACGACCAGACCCCGCGCAGGGCGGCGAGTCCAGCATGTCCACCACCGACGAGCTCGCCTCCCACTCGAGCGACGGCCTGTCGAGCGGCATGCGCGACACCGGGAGCGCCGCCACGGAGATGACGAGCGTCATGGGCAGCACCGATGACGGTTCGCAGGCCGGTCTCGAGGCCGACGAGGAGTGGAATTCGCAAGAGGAGGAAGGCATGGACGTTGACGACGATAATTTCTCTGTCTTCGCGCCGAGTCACTACCCTCGACCGAGCGAGTCGCATCGCACCGAGATGCCCTACATGACGTCGCCAAATCACCAAGACATGTGAGTATTTTTCCTTGGGATTCCTGTTTTTTTATTTATTTTATTATACCCTTGCAGAGCACACCGAGCGACGACGGTGTAGACGTAGGCTGACCAGGAGATCATTGTAGGTCGTCAACGAGGTCCTTTATGGAGCGAGAGTTGGATTACCAATGGGAAAACGGTCGTCGATACTGCGGATCCCTCTACCACCTACCAAACGACGAGTGGGAAATGTGTCGCATGAGCTTAATCCACAGAGTCTACCTTCACGTCTTCGACGGCAAACTAAGCACGGTACCAATGGAGAACCCGCAGAGGATACTAGACGTTGGCACGGGCATTGGCGAGTGGGCGATAGGCATGGCGGACGAGTTCCCCAACTGCGAGGTCATTGGCACAGACATTTCCGCCATAGCGCCCACGTCAATACCGATGAACTGCTTCTTCGAAGTCGATGACGCCGAGCTCGAGTGGGAGCGCGAGCTCAACTCGTTCGACCTGGTGCACTTCCGCCATATGATGGGCGCGTTCCTCGACTGGAACTTTATCTACAAGGAGGCCTTCAAGGTCATCCGCCCCGGCGGCTGGATCGAGCTGCTGGACTGGGACGACCAGCAGGGGTTCAAGAAATTTCTCTCAGAGTTTCCTCCCACGTCCGAGATTCACGAGCTGTCGAGAGACCTGACGCAGGCGGGCGTCAAGGCCGGGCGAGCGAGGGGCGTCACGCACATGAACCCGAAGCTGCTGACGGACGCCGGCTTCACGGATATCAAGCTGACGGAGCACACGATACCTATTAATCTCGAGTCGAGCGAGGGCAAGCTATGGCTGATTGCCTGCATCGACGGCCTGGAGGCAGAGTGCCTGCGGCCGCTTACAAAGTACATGGGGTGGGAGCCCGATCATGTCAAGACGGCGTGCCACAACGTCGCCAGGGAGATGGCGCGCCTGGCGAGAGATCCGATCAAGTCGCATGGTCTCATCGTCAAGGCGCGCGTGTTGGTGGGGAGAAAGCCGACGACCGCGGTCACGCCGCCGAGGGTGTACCCGATTTTTAACGACGATGCGGATGAGACGGATGATACCGCACGAGAGGATGCTTGCAGCAGACACCATGACGATGATGAGTCCGCCGTTGAGACGGCGGTCTGAGTTTGTCGAATGACCTACTTACCTTCACCTTCTTGGTGAGGGGAGTGCAATAATTTCCGCTCTATCCGGGTGACGAACAGCCCGGGCCTAACGCAATTAGAGCAACCGATATTACCTTCATGTTCACTTACATATATCGCAACTTCCACAACCGGCAGAAGAGGTTGGCCGGTTATATTTAAAAGCGATCAACAAACTTTGCATAGCTCCTACTTATTTACCTTACCTTCTACGGAAACCGGACGGGGTCGAGAAAAAGTACCTTGCCTTTAAAGGCGATCAACTGAGGATACTCCTTGGGTCAAAATGGCGGATGGCAGGTTCGAGGAGGGCTCGAGGTGCACCATTGTGCAGACCAAAGGGGTCGAGAGATATCCTAGCTACTAGGCAGATTAGGGATAATCACCGAGAGAAAGATGAAAATAGATGAAGCTCTCCATTTGGTGCAGTATGCTTGGCTGTGTGGTGAAATGAAGAAATCCTAGTGAAGATCTTCGTAGAGGTGCCGAATAACCTTGGGTGGTGAAATGTCACAACTAATACCTTGAGCTTGAGGCATCTGAGAGCTCGGTGCTTCGAGAGTACGTACCGCCATAGCTCCGTTCCCAGGTTGCAGTGGGGAGCCGGCCGAGCTCCCTGCCTATGTCATCTATCCATTCAACAGCGATCATACACACAATCATCAGCCTCCAACGAGCCGTCCACTTTGCGCAACCGCAGCTGGCGCACTCAACAACGCTCGAAGCGAAACCACGATCCCCAGCGACGATGCTCGTATGACCTTAACGTAGTCCCCCCCCCCCTTCGAATCATGGCTTTGAACCCCACCGACGGCTTCGTCGCCGCCGGCAACGGGGTGCTCGACCTGGACGACACCGCGCTGCCCATGTTCATCGTCGAGCGAGTCCAGCTGCAGTTCTCCATCGCGGCCGACTTTGTCGCCGCCCAGGTCGCAAACAATGTTTTAGTTTTAGCCTTGTCCAACGGACGTATCTTGCGCATCGATCTTAACAGGCCCGAGGACATTGATGGTGCGTATTACAGTCGACGAAATGACGGTGCTTTGCTACTTACGAAACAACGGATATGCTAACCATGAGGGCCATTCGCAGATATTGACCTCCCCAAGAAACCGGCAGAAATCGGCGTCATCCGCCGCATGTTTCTCGACCCGACCGCCTCCCACCTCCTCGTTTGCACGGCGCTCGGCGAGAACTACTATCTTCATTCCCAACACAAACACCCGCGTGCCCTGGCCCGCCTGCGAGGCGTCTCCATCGAGAGCGTAGCCTGGAACCCCTCGCTTCCCACGGCGTCGACCCGCGAGATCCTACTCGGCGCTGCCGACGGCAACATCTACGAGGCCTCCATCGAGACCACCTCGGAGTTCTACAAAAAAGACATCAAGCTCAAGAACCTGCACAAGCTCCCGGATGGACCGATCACGGGACTCTGGGCCGATACCTTACCGAAACGGCCAGACATGCGGCGTGTGATGATTGCGACGCAGAGCCGGCTGTTTCATCTGGCTGGCAAGGTCGGCAGCGGCCACGACAGCGGAGGTTCGGTGTACACGAAGCTGTTTGAGTCGGAGCAGCCCGTCATCCACGAGCTGTCGCGCGCCTCGGCCGCCGCGACGTCCGCGCTGGTCGTCTCGCCGGACCCTCCCGACCAGAACCCGTACGAGGACGAGGCGCATGAACGGGCCTACGCGTGGCTGTCTGCTCAGGGCATCTTCCACGGGCAGCTTGCCTCGAGCGCCGAGGGCAAAAAGATATTCAACGAGTCGAGCATGCTTCCGCGGGACAAGATTGGTTCATCGTCTGACGGACCGGGAAGTAAGCGGAAAGCTACGGCGGATTACGTCGAGGCGATTGCGCTCACGCAGTGGCACATTGTCAGCCTGATTGGAGGCCGCGTGGTCGCCACGAATCGCCTGACCGGAGAGGTGGTGTATGATCAGATCGTGTTGGACCCGGGGCAGAAGGCTGTGAGCTTGTCTGTGGATCTGCAAAAGAACACATTCTGGATGTTCACGGCGCAGGAAATCTTCGAGGTTGTCGTCAGGGACGAAGACCGCAATATCTGGCAGATCATGCTGAAGCTGCAACAGTTCGACTCTGCGCTGCAGCATGCCAAGACGCCCGCGCAACGGGAGACGGTGGCGACCTCGTATGGTGACCACCTCGTTGCCAAGCGGCAGTATATGGAGGCTGCCTCGGTGTACGGACGCAGCAATAAGCCATTCGAAGAGGTGGCTCTTACCTTTATCGACAATAACGAACCTGACGCCCTAAGGAAATATTTATTGGCGAAGTTGAGCACGTCCAAGAAGGCGGCCGTCATGCAAAGGATAATGATTGCGAGTTGGCTGGTGGAGATCTTCATGGCGAGGCTCAACTCGCTGGATGACACTATCATCACCCAAGCCGAGTTGGCGGACGGCCTCAACCCGGCGCAGTCGAAGGAGCAGCTCCACGCTGTTCAGGGCGAGTTCCAGGAGTTTGTCAACAAGTACAAGTCTGACCTCGACCGGCGCACGGTATACGACGTGATCAGCAGCCACGGCCGGGAGCAAGAGCTGTTGCACTTTGCCAACGCCGTCAACGACTACAACTACGTCCTGTCGTACTGGGTCCAGCGCGAGAGGTGGCCCGAGGTGCTGACTGTGCTGAAGAAGCAGACGGACCCCGAGGTTTTCTACCGGTACAGCACTGTGCTTATGACGCACGTTGCTTCGGACCTGGTTGAGATTCTCATGCGCCATTCCGACTTGAAGCCTCGCAAGCTGATTCCCGCGCTGCTAGAGTATAACCGCACCTTTGAGGGCACCCCCCAGCAGAACCAGGCCGTCAGATATCTACAGTATGTCATCAATCAGCTCAACTCCAAGGACTCGGCAGTACACAACACTCTTGTTTCGATATATGCCCAGACCTCGAAGGATGAGGCTGGCTTGCTATCGTATCTGGAATCGCAGGGGGAGGAGCCGAATTACGACCCGGATTTTGCCCTTCGCCTGTGCATCCAGTACCACCGCACGCTGTCTTGCGTCCACATCTACACCAGCATGGGTCAGTACCTGCAAGCCGTCGACCTGGCGCTCTCGCACAACGAGGTGGAGCTGGCGTCTGTGATTGCCGACCGGCCCATGTCCAACCCGTCTCTGCGGAAGAAACTCTGGCTCGCCGTTGCACGCAAGGTCATTTCGCAGTCCAACGGCATCAAGACAGCCATTGACTTTTTGAAGCGGTGCGACTTGCTAAAGATTGAGGACCTCATCCCCTTTTTCCCGGATTTTGTCGTCATTGACGACTTCAAGGAGGAGATTTGCACGGCGCTCGAGGACTACGGGCGCAATATTGACTCGTTGAAGAAGGAGATGGACGAGTCGTCGCAGACGGCAACGAATATCAAGGTGGACATTGCCGCTCTGGATCACCGGTACGCCATCGTCGAGCCCGGGGAGAAGTGCTACGTCTGCGGGCTGCCGTTGCTGAGCAGGCAGTTTTTCGTCTTTCCGTGCCAGCACTCGTTCCACTCGGATTGTCTGGGCAAGAGGGTGCTGGAGCAGGCCGGGGTCAGCACGAGCAAGAGGATACGCGAGTTGCAGGTGCAGATTAGTAAAGGACTGGTGAATGGTGCCAAGAGGGAGGCTATGATTACGGAGTTGGACTCGTTGGTGGCATCAGCATGGTGAGTTTACAATGGGTTGCCTTTTTACGAGTGACGTGTGCTAACATTACGCAGTATTCTTTGCAGCGAGTTTGCCATTAAGAGGATTAACGAGCCATTTGTGACGCCACAGGATAACCTCAATGAATGGAGGATTTAAAGGGACCGTGTGTGATGGCCTCTGTGGTTGAGACGCACGCACACAGTCTCTTCTTATCTTTGTACATGATAGCAAAAGAACCCTTGCATGCGCAAGCGTTGTTTCAATGGCTGCAATACCCGGCGTTTTCAAATTCAAGAGTTTACACCGAGTGTATACAGAGGTTATGCCAAGTGCTATTGATTATTTGGTATAGTGAACCAATATTTCGGTCTGACAATAATGATACGGCTTTGAAAGTGAACTGGTTTGTGCTGGAGAGAGACATGTGCTAGAGAGAGAGAAATGGGAAGGGGGTCTTTTTCAGGATCCTGAGCAGTCGGTGACTTGTGTTTGCGAGGTTGATAGCAAGAGGATGGAGACAATGAGGCCGTAGAGGCCTAGGACCTCTGCGAAGATGAGGATTAGGACCATGCCTGTGTATAGACGCGGTTGTTGGTTCGTGGCTCTGACTGTTGGACGGGTGTTAGTCATCATTATGACCTCTGTCTTGTTCCTTTTTTTTTTTTTTGCTCCTCGACCCAAGGCCGTAGTCGGTATCAAAAGCCGAGAGTGCACGAAAAAAAAAAAAAAAGATGGAAAGGGGGGGGAGGGGGGAGGGGGAGAAGAGGTGTGATGGGATATTAAACAAAGTTTACCTCCAGCATCACCAACAATGCCAATCGCAAACCCGGCCGCGAGCCCACACAACCCGACACTGATTCCCGCGGCAAACTGTAAGAAGCTCGTGTGTAGGGCTTGCTTCTCGACGAGGCGGTTGGCGATGATGACGGCCGCGACGAGGCCGTAGATGCTGAGGATCTGGGCCATGATGGCGCAGAGGGTGTTTTGCATTAGGCGGTCGGGACGGAGGATGCCGGCGGAGAAGATTGCGGCGGAGGATTTTGCGGTGCCGTAGGAGGAGCCTAGGACTGTGAAGACTATGGCGGATATACAGCCCATTGCGCCGAAGAAGGACTGTTTTTTTGGGGTATGGTCAGCAAGAAAGGAAGGGGGGGGGGGGTTGGGTTGGAGTTGGAGGTGAGGTGTCGAGGCTGGGAGGAATGACTGACGGAGTATGATGGACTTGGGGGATGAGGCACGTCAGCTACGAGTATCGCGGGGACTTGGGACGCTTGGAAGGAAGGGGAAGATGAGGTTATAATGCGTACCAGCGGTCCAGGTT